TTGCCATTTTAATTATTATGTGTCTTGGTGTTGTCCTCCTTGGATCCTTTCTGTTGGGGGTTCTGTGTATTTCCGTGGTCTGTTCGATTATTTCCTCCTCCAGTTTGGGGAAGTTTTCAGCAATTATTTCTTCCAAGATACTTTCCGTCCCTTTTCCTCTCTCTTCTTCTACCGGTACCCCTATAATACGGATATTGTTCATTTTGGATTGGTCACACAGTTCTCTTAATATTGTTTCATTCCTGGAGATCCTTTTATCTCTCTCTATGTCAGCTTCTATGTGTTCCTGTTCTCTGGTTTCAATTCCATCAATGGCCTCTTGCATCTTATCCATTCTGCTTATAAATCCTTCCAGAGTTTGTTTCATTTCTGTGATCTCCTTTCTGGCATCTGTGATCTCCCTCCAGACTTCATCCCATTTCTCTTGCATATTTCCCTGCATCTCTGTCAGCATGTTCATGATTTTTATTTTGAATTCTTTGTCAGGAAGACTGGTTAGGTCTGTCTGTTACTCTGGTGTCTCTGTGATCTTGCTTTGCCTGCAATTTTGTCTTTTCATGGTGGTAGGAATAGTTTGCAGAGCTGGGACTAGTGGTGACTGGAAGAACTTCCCTTCTTGTTGGTTTGTGGCCTTCCTCTCCTGGAAGAATAGCGACCTCTAGTGGCTTGTGCTGGGTAGCTGCGTGCAGGCAGGGCTTCTAGATCTTGCCTGGGTGCTATGGAGTTTATCTCCGCTGTTGCTCTGAGCATGGTCTGGCTCGGGCTGCTGCTTCAAAGTGGTGGAGTTGCATTGTAGGGGGAGCGGCCGGGAGGCTATTTATCTCCTTAAGGGGCCTCTGTCCTCCCTGCAGCCCAGGGGATTAGAGTGCCTAGAGATCCCCGGATTCACTACCTCTGGACTAAGTGTCCCGCCCTGCCCCTTTAAGACTTCCAAAAAGCACCCGCCAGAACAAAACAACGACCACAAAAAAAAAATGGCCGCTCGTTTTTCTTTATTCTCCGGTGCCAGCCTCGGGCACCTGCTCTCCAGTCTTGCTGCCCTGTTTCCCTAGTATTAGCATCCCTATCCCTTTAAGACTTCCAAAAAGCACTCGCGAAACAAAACAACAGGAAAAAAAAGACGGCCACTCGCTTTTCTTTTGTTCTCCGGTGCCGGTCTCCGGTACCTGCTCGCCGGTCTTGCTGCCCTGTTTCCCTAGTATTCGGGTCCCTGTCCCTTTAAGACTTCCAAAAAGCACTCGCCACAACAAAACAACAACAATAAATAAATAAATAATAAATAAAAATTTAAAAAAAGATGGCCGCTCGCTTTTCTTTTGTTCTCTGGCACTGGTCTCTGATACCCACTCGCCGGTGTTGCTGCCCTGTTTCCCTAATATTGGGGTCCCTGTCCCTTTAAGACTTCCAAAAATCACTCGCCACAACAAAACAACAACAACAGCAACAACAAAAAAGGTGGCCGCTCACTTTTCTTTTCTCCTCCAACGCCGCCCTCCTGTACCCGCTCACCGTTCTTGCTGCCCTGTTTCCCTAGTATCCAGGGCCCCACCCATGCACTGTGTCTGCGCTCTGGTCCAGATGGCTGGGCTGGGTTTTCAGCAGTCCTGGGCTCCCTCTCCCTCCTACTCTGACTCCTCTCCTTGCGCTGGGAGCTGGGGTGAGGGGCGCTCATTACCTGCCGGGCCGGGGTTTGTATCTTACCCCCTTTGTGAGGCGCTGGGTTCTCGCAGGTGTGGATGTGGTCTGGATGTTGTCCTGTGTCCTCTGGTCTTTATTCTAGGAAGAGTTGTCTTTGTTATATTTTCATAGATATATGTGGTTTTGGGAGGAGATTTCTGCTGCTCTACTCATGCCGCCATCTTGGCTCTGCCTCCCTGAGATACTATTATTATCCCCACTTAGAGGAGAAAACTGATGCTTACAGAGGTTGAGTCATGTGACCAATGTCATGAGCACTTCCAGTGCTGGAATTGGATAAATATGTAGGTCTATCTGGGTTCACTTATTTGCTAAACTACTTTGCCTCTATTCTCATCTTGCCCCCACCGAGTCTAACATATCTCTAAAGATTAACCATTTCTGGAGCTTCTTTCATTGTTATTTTATCCTATGCAGAGAGCAAGTACAGCCCAAGGGGAGCTTTGTACAGTGATTTGACCTCCTACAACCATGGCATCATCTTGTTAAGTACAGAATCTTACTGAAGAAGAAGTCAAAGGTAAAAAAAGAAAAAAGACACATTTGGAGGAAGCTTATTTAGAGCATGATATTTTAAAGCTTTAAACCCTTATCCTATAAAGGTAGCCTAGAGTTTATCTATGAAGGTAGGATACAAATCCATGAAGTCCCTTCTGCCTTCCCCATCTTGGTGCACTGATTATTAATTTAAGGGGTCAGATAATATGAGCAATCAAAATTTGATCTGGGTGACTCTATAATTCATTGGTGTCATTTTCTTAGGGTCTTTCTGGTCCAGATGGATATGGACATCCAGGACAAAAAGGAAAAATGGTGAGGGTCTCCTTATGGAGGATTCACAACTATAGACTGTAGTTTGAACTTTATTTCACTAGAATAAGAGTTATTCCCCAGGTGGTATGACAGGAATGGTTTCTAATTACTGTTTACCACATGTTGTAGCTACCAGAGTTCCCTCCTTGAAAAACATAAGCTGATTTTGCCCGTCCCTTATTTAAAGATCAAACTCCTTACCTCACCTTCTACTTACACCAGTGATAAGCCCCCCAGCCTGGGCGGGCCTGGCCCTTTCCAAGCCCCTTGCCTTAGACATATTCTTGCCTTTATTTCTGATGTCCTTCCTCATCTCCCTCCTTTGGACAATTTCTGCTCAATTTCTAAGACCAACTCAGTTATCGACTTCTCCTTGGGGAAGCCTTCTTGGACTTCCACAGACAGAATTTGTTTCCTATACTCTGTGCTTCTAAAGCACATTGCTTACATATTTCTCTAGTAGCCCCTTTCCATTGAAGCTACACATTATTTATCCCTGCATTCCTGTCTACCTCCCAGTTTGTGAACTTAATAGCAGGATTGCATCTTTCTTGTTCTGTTGCTGGAACAGAGCCTGGCACAGAATAGGTGCTCAATAAATGCTTGCACTCCTGTAAGAAGCTGGTATTTTAATATGTAGTTACTGGGTCACTGACAGAGGTTTTGAAGCATGGAAGTCACATTGAAGCTTGAACAAGTGAAATGTCGATAGCCACAGTTACTATGGGTGCTTTAGTATGCAAGTTACATTTATTGCCTCACAAAATAACAAATCACTGGGGTGTTTAGTGATATCCAGCTACTTAACAATGTCAGGACTCTGGATGGCTTCTCTGAATTTTTTTTTGTTTTTCTTGTGGCTACAAGATGGCACTACTGCCATTTTATCAAGCTAGAAAATGTCCAGAATGTAGTTAGATCTTAGTAAATATCTGTTGAATGTCGGCTACCGGGGGACCTCAGCTATCATCTACTTCAGCCTTGTCAATGTACTGACAAGAAAACTGAGAGTCGGAGAAGTGAGGTAACTTGCCTGTAGTCATGTAGAGCTGGGTGTAGAGGCTAGCCCATTGGAGGCCCGCCCTAGCAAATTAAGTTTTTCTTCTCTCGGGCAGAGTTTGCAAAGCAGGGGAATTCCAAGTATAATTCAAATGTGCATGTTTTGAGCCACATACCAGCCCTGAGCTAAGCACAAGGAATATCTCTGCTTACTGTGATGCAGTTAACCCTATGGAATGCAGAGTCCGTCCACAGTATATGAATTTTTCCTAGTAAGACCTGCTGCTCTTACTATAAGTGGCTCTTACTGCTGCTTTGCCAGCTGACTATGTTTTCCTGCCTGTTCACTTCCCCCTGAGTCTACTATTTCATACCTTCTAATCTCCCATGAAACCCTCAAGACCTGCAAGAGCCCAAAGAGAACAAACTCAACTTGAGCCGGTAAGTTAAGTGGGGATGGGCCACCGATGGGGCCATGTGTCTTCCTGTAGATTTGACTGAGGTTTAGGAGGTATTACTGTCCATCAGGAGAGGCTCTTATAAATTAATATATTCATCTCGGTCTCCCCTTGGGTGAACTATCTTCCCAACGTGGTCTCAGAAATGAAGTGGTTGAAAAGCATGCCATCTCCAAGGCAAAGAAAAATTCCACCCCAGCAGAGCACCTCGTGGTAATTGAAAACCTGTGTGTCTGCATCTTGGTGCTTCTCACAAAACAAGCAAAGAGAAGCTGTGTTCTTATTATCCCATCAATTTAAACAAAAGAGATCAACAGTGAGCCTTCAGTAAGATATGTGTCTTATTTACATGTGTATTTTAAAAACAAAATTACAAACTATCAAATCTGAAGTAATGTTTTGTCACATTCCCAGATCAGAATTTTTTTACTGTCTTCAGTGTATTCCAGGATATTTGCATCCTTTAATACACACTCCAATTTGAAAAATACAAAATCAATCACATAATCTACATGTCTCCTAGCAATAGGGAGGGAACATTGACTTGGCAAATTGCTCAGTTTGGGAGCTTTGGTTTTCATCACAATTGTCCCACCCCTCTTACTGTCTAACTCTTCCATATTTGGTCCATTCCTATCCATTTGTTGTTCAAGAATATTCTGGAATCCTTTATCCTAGAAATCATAAAGAATAAAACCATCATTTTGATCCCAAAGGCAAAGTGTCAGAATTGATCACATAAAAAAGTTAAAACCCCTTTACATTGAAAAGCACTGTAAAGTCAAAAGCAAACAGAAAAATGGGAAAAAATATATGCAAATATAAGCAAGGGACCCAAGCAAAGGACCTACCTTCCTTCCTCTACCCTGTTGAAATACCTAAAATTGCTGCTACTCAATCATTTCCATCTACACATTTTATATTTGCTAAGCATAAATGTAAAAACTCTTTTAGATTGAAAATGGGCAAAAAACATGAATGGAGGATTCAGAGAAGGAAAAGTACAAATGTACAATAAACCTGTAAAATGTTCAATCTCATAAGAAGTCAAAGAATACAAATTAAAATGAGATACTCTTTTTGTTCCTCAAATTAAAATATTTTTAAAATAGAAAATCCCTATCTAAACTTGGGAAATTTATAAAAGTACACATTCTGGTGGGAGTGTCAATTGGTACAACCTTTCTGAAGAGCAATTGGATGATGCATATCAAAAGTCATAGTTATAGAGATTTGTATAGGGCTAGGACAGATGCACACAGAAGCATGTACACATATGCTTATCTCAAGGATATGTTGGTGGATAAATGAGATATCTATAGTAGACTCGGTGATATTACTCTAAATTTATGGATGGAAAAAATGGATGTCCATCATATACTAAGTGTGAAAAGATTCAGAATAGAAAATATCTTAAGTTCCAACTTTTTAAAATAAAAAACAAATTATATGTATATAAACACACATATATATACACACACATATGTATATGATAAATTAAGGATAATTTTAATTTTTTGCTTTCTAATATTTTCCATGAAAGTATATTACTTGTGTACACACATTCATACATGATAATATAGTATATAATTAATATATGTTGTATATTATATAGTTTCAGATAGGAGTGTATATGTATATTTAGGGTTTCAGAATAGCTCAGTGTATTCATTAGACTGAAGGTCAGTGCAGTGCGACCTCAGTGCTCAATAGCAGTGACACAGAGGAATGTCTCAAACCCAAGCTGCAAGTAGCCAGGGCAGGTTGATAAGGAGTGCCAGTTTTCTGGGATGAAGGCTTTCTATATTTTCTTGCTTTGCCATTGGGATGAGGTTGGTGCTCTGTTTTCCAAATTGCCTCATGGTCCAAGATACCTGTCAAGCTTTAGCCAGCAGTTAAAGAAAAGGAAGGATACTTTTTCGAAGTTGTACCTACCATTTTTCTTACTCTGTTATCAAGACTGTAGTAGGATGGCTACCTCACTGGGAACTGTAGTCTTTTTTCTAGGCAGCCATATGCCCAGCCAGACATTGGGGTTCTGCTTCTAGAGGAAAAAGGGAGAATGGACATTGGGGAGCAAGTAGAGTCTCTGCCCCATGCAGGCAGGGGCTAGGAAGGCCACTGCTTGAGTGTCTCAGAGAAGATGGCTTTCATATTAATGCAATCTTATGGAAAAATGCTACTGCGTATAAAAATTAATGGTATCTTCTTTTCTCTCCACAAGAATTTCCCTTCCAGTATGTCCAACAGGTAAATAATACTTCTTATTCACTCAAATCTTCACTTGTTTAGAGGCATCACAGAAAATCTTAAACCTGTGTATCTATTGTGTGAAGGGTTTCCAAATGTGCAGTTTCCAACTGAGGTGGTCTTCACCTTGGACATGTCAAATGATGTCTCCTAGTTGGATTTTGAGAGGATGAGAGACATTTTATTGTCTCTGTTGATGAAGATGGACATAAGCAGGAGTAACTGTCCAGTGGGTGCCCGAGTCACCAACATTTCGTACGACACCAAAACAGATTACCTGATTCACTTCTCAGACCATAAGGGGAAGCCTTCACTCCAGCAGGGCATCAGGAATATCCCCCTGGAAGAGTCATCTGGCAGCAGGAATCTTGGGGATGCCATGAGGTTCGTGGCAAGACATATGTTCAAACATGCGCGCTTGGGCCTTGTCAGGAGGAAAGTGGCTGTGTTCTTCCTGGCGGGCTGGGCCCGTGATGCAGAAGCCGTCGGCACGGATACACTGGGGCTCCATGTGCTGGACATCACCCCCATGGCTGTCAGCTTCACCGAGGAGCACAACCTCCCAGAGGCCCTGCTGGTAGGTGGGGAATGCTGGGAGGCAGGGCTGGGGGAGGGTGGCTGGTGGCAGGGGACAAATTCCCCAGAACTGATGTGTGACCATTGGTGGTGGTAGGGAGTCTCATTATGGCCTCTACTATGAGTCCTGACTGGCCGTTCTTGAGCACTTACTCTGTGCTACGTGCCTTCTAAGCATTATCTTAATGGAATTATCCCCCAAACTCTATAAGGTGCATATTATTATAACATATCTCTTTTGGAGATTAGAAAACTAAGACTTGGAGATGGTAAATATACCACTGAAAGTCAAACACCTGGTTAGTAGCAGACTGTCCTCAGCACCTATGCTTGACTGCTAAGCTAAATTATATCATGAGAATCCACAGAATGTCATTTTCTTTCTTTTTTTCACTTGGGATATAAAATATGTACCCATAGAACAAAGCAGGTAAAGTGCGCTGATGTTAAGTATACAGATGGATGGATTTTTGTATCTGTTTAAACCCCTGTGACCAAGATATAGTTCAAGATACCAAGTACACACAGCCTCCTATGCACTTCGCTCACGTCCCTTCCCAAACCACATGCCCAGACCGCTCCTCTGGCCTGTTCCAGAATAGTGCTTCGGCCTTTCACTAGGCATACTGTCTGTCCCCTTGGCCATCCGTACTGTGTATGTGGGTAACTTCTTCTTGCACACTGCTGTTCTGAAGTATTCTAGGCTGTGGATACACCACAATGTATCTATCTATTTATCTATTCTGCAGACTTTACTTTCCTAACTGAAACCTGTGTAATACATTCTCATGGAATGTGTGGGATGATTTATCAAAATGAAGGGTGGTTCTCTGTTTAAGAGATTCCAGGATGCTTCTGAACATTAGGCTGGGCCATGTGACATTGCCAATATTCAACTGGTTTTGACTGGCAGAAATGGAATTGCCATATGGGTCAACCTAACAGCTGATTAATAGCTGTGCTAGACCACTCAATTTTCTCTTAGAGTTGGGAGTGCAGCAGAAGGCATAGGTGAGAGATTTTGTTGAAACAGCTGTGAATATGCTTCTCAGAGTCAATAGGTAAAATTGTGATTGCTTGCAAGCTATTGGGAAGGATGGACTAAATATCTGAGGTTTTGAGAAACAGTTACAAAGCAGAAGGTGAACTCCTTGCTCATGGGCACACCTGTCTTTCCTGGCAGGATGCCTGGGCAGGATGGGGTACTGAGGGGGAAGCTCTCAGTACCTTCCCAAAGGGGTTATGAAGGCAGGACAGGAACAGCAGTTTATGCTAGGGATGGGGCCTCTGGCTCTGGCTCTCTCACCGCTAATGAGGTGTCCTTGGAAAAGCCCCTTCCGCGTCTCGTTCTGCTCAGTTCTCTGATAGAGGGGGTCATGGCCAGTCATTCTAGTGCCCTTCCAGGTGTGAGCACCTAGCTTCAGAGAGGCATTTCCCTCATGTCTGGAGAGTGGCACTGGGGGTGCAGTTACCCCCCCACCCCAGTGCTCAGCAGCGCTGTGCTCCGAGAGGGGTTCTGGGCAGGCAGTGGGGCCTGTAGAGGTGACCCCTTGTCAGGAGGCTCTTGCCCTCTGAGTTGCTCTGGGTTCTGAGGGAAAGGATGTGAGAGTGTATGAAAAGGACTTGCCAGCTTAAATAGGCTTGAACTTCAGCCTGTCACTTCTTTTTTTTTTAAATTTTTACTTAAAGAATGAAAAAAATACTTTTTTTTTTACCAGAGGTTATTTTTGTGGACATATTAAGATATTTTTCTTTGCTCTCCAGTAAAAAAATTCCATGTAGATGTTATTGTCTGTTTTCTCTAAGAGATCATGGAAGACAGGGAAGGGTGGGGTGTATATTTAAGAATTTACCAGTAGTAGTTTCATCAGGGAGGCAGTACTGTATACCTAATATTGAGACTCAATACTCAGATAGCTTTCTGGCTAAAAATATTTTTTAAGATAGATGATAATTGGGTTATTTTTACACTGACAACTGAAACAAAACTACAAATTCTTACAGTGTTTAGGGACCCAGAACCAACTTCTCAAAAAAGTACATTTTATACCCATATTATTTCAGCATGACTGTACTTCTTCAAATTATCATAATCTGTTGCTAGTTCCTGTCTACATATAACAATTTACAGGGCCCTTAAAGGGAGGTCATAAAGGAAATAACAAGCAGGTACAAATCAAAGACTGCATTCAGGACACAGAGCCACACACACTGCGTGATGTACAGAATTTGCTCAATCACCTGTCATTTTGAGTCTGCCTAATAGGAGCAAGTCTCCTAAGTTCTGACAATCACATACAAGAAATGCTGTTAAAACTAATTTAATCAGACATACTGAGGTACTATGGCTATTAGAAATCTGTTTATAAAGATTTTCCATCATAAGTTATTATACATTTTTTTCAGGTTCAAAACTTGGTTTCAGCTGTTATAGTCATAAACTATAAGAAGTATTTTCCCCAGGATCTTGTCTACATAGAAAAGTTTCATATAGGTATCTTTAAATAGTCTTCCTAACTTTGAGGAAACTCTACCCTCCCTGTAAAGCACACACACATAAGCCCACATCAGTTATGAGGTAAAGCACAGTCTCCTATGAGGACACCAAGCAGCATCCATCCTGTGGTTCAGTCAACAATCTGCACAATCTGCTCCTGAGGAGAAATCAAGAGAGTCCCTCTGCCTTTGTAGCATCTCCAAAGCCACCTTTTCTGTAACAATCATTTTGGACTTCATCCACCATGCTCATCTCATTTGGATTTCAATGCTTCCTCCCACTCAACAGCTGATTCAGAGTTCTTGGGAATTGCTGGAAATGCTGATTGCATTTTACTTCAGAAGTCTTTCATCTTGTTGAACCATTCAGGGCTTTTCTTTTTAGCCAATGATAATGATGTTAAGTATACAAATGGATGGATTTTTATATCTGTTTAAACCGCTGTGACCAAGACATAGTTCGTAACAAATCCAGCTAGCGTTCCTGCTGTAGCAGTGCTACCAAGGAGAATCCCACTTCACCACAGCACACCTTCAACCAGGAAAAGCTGGTCTTCAGTGGCTCCCGAAGCCTCCAGCTGAGAGGTTGGCTCTCCACTCCCAGAGCCTGTGGCCTCCATGCTTGCAAGCCTCCACCGCTGCTTCTGGCGCCAACTGGCTCAGCCCCTGTCATTTCTATCTGCTTGCTTCTCTATTTCTTGAATATATTCTTGCCCCAGGATGCTGGGAGATGATTCCCCTAAATTTAACAACATAGAAAGGATGTTAAATGGTACTTGCCAGCTGAAATGTGACAAATAGCTTCATATCTGATGACAGTGGCAAGGAGAGAAACCATAAAAATGACAACTCCATTCTTACGGCCTTTCAGCAAATCCTCATTTCTTCACACCTGGGCACACTGCAGCCCCTAAACTCCTCTAATCCATTTTTGCCCTTTGGGGAAGCCAGTTAGGAGAGTGAGAATATTGTGTGATTCTGAATTATCTGCCTGTGGGCTCTCTTTGACTGTCTGTGGGGCTTTTGCCCTTTACCTCTATGTTATTTTATTTTTCAGAACAACACCCATGTGCTTCTTCTGGATAAATGGTTTTTGTTCTTTGAAACAGTTATATAAACAGATGCCCTAACTTCTCAGTCAATTTAAACATGCTCAGAGGTTGTGGGTCATATTGGAGAGATTTTTAAAGGCTGGAGTCATTGTGTCATCTCAGCTTTCAATAAAGCAGCATTATAGCATTTGGACTATTTGTGCTTTATCCCAACGTTAAGAAAAGCCTGATTGCCTTGTGTTTCCAAACATAAACTTCATTTTTAAAATTAAAAAGCAGAGGATTACATGGAAAATGTAATTTGTACGCTAGATTTCAAATTTCATTTTTCCTTATAAAAAGTGAAGTACACATCTCTGGAAACAATACCTAGGAAAATAGCTCATGTCTATTGACCAGGTGCCGCTGTAGGAGCTTCCCACCTATTGGTTCCTGCAATCCTGCAAGCCAGGGAGACATTATGGTCCATCTCTCAGATGCTGAGGCCTGGATACAAAGAGGTTAAGCCACTTGCTTACAGTCTGGAATTCCCATTCACAATGAGATTTTAAATTTAAAAGTCAAAAACCGGAAGAGAGTTTAGAAGCTGTAAGTTCTGTCCATGTATTAATTCATTTCATCTTTGCAACAATACTATGATGTAAGTCTATGAACTGGCCCTATTTCTACTACTGTGTTGTTCTTTTAAAAAAGTGCCAGAGAATAGAATGCTGGCTATCGGGGAGATAGAAAAAAATCCAGTTTAGAAGATGAAAATATTAAGAGAAATACTTTGGGTAATTAAAAATTTTGCCGTAATTTCAAAATTCAGTAAAGTTGCCGGGGTACATTCTTCTTCTTTTTACTTTTTTGAAGAAAGTGAGGGACTTGCCAAAGGTGCTGAATCAGACAGGCCCTTTCAGAAGCCCGGATGACCCGCTGCTCAGGCCTTGTGGGCTGCTGTTTTCCATTATAATGTTGCTCCCCTAAAGCCAGGATCGGAGACCCAGGGAAGGAATTAGGTAATGAGGCTTCACATTTTGGCTTTGCCCCTATGTAACCTGGACCTGTTCTTTGGCACTGGTGCTTCAATTTCTTCACCTGTAAAATGGGGATAAATTCACTTTGTTGTGAGAATATAAGAGATGGAGCCTATGGAGATAGCTGAGGGTGTCTGTGTGCACACTCAGAGAAGGGTGCTGTTATTGCCACCTTCTCCAGATCCTTGAGAGGCCCTTGCCCATTAACTATTTATTAAGTCAGAGAGCTTCCATTTGGTGAGTACCTGTAAAGTCTCAACCAGCATGTGATGTCATCGTAGCCCCTCACTACTCAACATGTGGTCCCAGAACAGCAGCAGCCTCCCCAGAGCCTGTGAGAAACACCAGACTGCAAGTTCTATTCAAGCAGGGTCGGTATTTTTAAGAAGATCCCTGGATGGTGTGCATGGACATCAGAGTTCGAGGAGTGCTGGTCTACCCTCACACCTGCCGTACAAATTCATGATGAAACTACATTTCCCACATGAGATAGGGAAGGTCAGAGGTGAAGCAACCTATTCTAAACTACAGAGTCCTGGAATTTGCACCCTGAAATGTCTGGTTCCCAAGTGCCACTGTGTTACCCAACACCTCCCTGCAGTGCTGATGCCAGACGTTTGCTGGGGAGTCCAGGAGGAGTCAGCGGCTCCACAGTGGTCTCAGTGGGACCACGTGACGGTCTGGAGCTGAAACTGGACTCCGGCTCCTGGGATCAGCACTGGTTCATGGCTACTCTCTCCTGCCTCCTTTCCTACTTTTCCCAGTCTCCCTCTTTCTCCCCCAGGCCCTACCTCAGCTGGGTGCCACAGGGTTTCTGACGCCTCCTCCTTGGGCTCCAGTTAGCTCTTCCTCTACCCAAGGTAGGTCCACCTCCTGGCACTGGGTTCCTTCCCCTCTGCTCCTATCTGTGCAGGCCAAGAGCCTCCCCCAGTTCAGTCCTGAGCAAGAGCTTTGTCCCCTGGCTGCTGCACCTTAGGACAGCAGCTGAGGTGCTGCACGGAACTGTGGGGGTCCCTCCAGCTCAGAGTGGGGAGTCCTTTACTATTGTGGCTGAGGTTGGAGGGTTGTCTGCATATTTAGGGAAAATGTCTTTTTCTCTGTAAAACAAAAGAAGATGTTCATGTGGATCGCTGCGCTGCATCCTCTCTCCCCACCCACTCCCATCTAGAGAACACTAGTCCCAGCGGATCACGGCTGGGCACTCCCGGATGAAGTTGGTTGATGGATTTGCCAAAGGTGCTTAGCCAAACGATGGGACAGCTTTAAGCCCTGAGCATCTCTCCTGGCTTTAGGTTCCCGTGGCTCACACGTCTTCTGGTGCCGATGGGAGTGTGCACTAGGAATCGCAGAGCCCACTATCTCCTCTCCTCATACTGTAGACCTCTCCAGGAATTATCTTGTCCACCTACATCCTAGTCACCACCAGTGACTTGGCACGATGCTGAGATTTCCAAAGTTGGGGTAATTAAGTGTTAGGAATAACAACTAAGTACAGAGAAATCTACACTGAATCAGTTCCCTGTGGACTTCCGTTGTATTTTTTGTACTTGTTCCCACAGCTTTATTTTTGCAAGAACAGTAGAAATTCTAAGCATGATCATAAAATTATTCTTCCTAAGTTTAAAAACAGATGTAAGTTTTTAGCTATTCTAGTTAAGTTCAATTTCATAATCTTCTAACTAAACTGAACAACAGATGGAAGAGTTATGTCTTCTGAGCTGCTCCAAGTAGAAAAGGCAACACAGTGTCCTGAGATGAGGGTTTCCCGTGTGCTTTGCAGCTGCACACTGGAGGTGGGTGTTCTTTATTCTCTAAGGTGTGGGGCACCAGAAGAATTCTGTAGATAACCACTACCTACCTCTGGACCTTTGTACATGCTGTTTCTCCACACTGTAATGCTTTTCCCTGCTTTGCCAGGGATGTGTCCTACTTATTCTCTCAAAAGTGCCAGATATCATTATTGTCATCATGTTCCTGCTATTCCTTTCCTTTTAAGTGGATCTCCTTTCATGTGTTCCTAAAACACAGTATTAGACTTCTTGAAAATTATTTGTCTATCCTTCTTCATAGATTTTAAGCTCTTTGAAATTGTGGCTGTGTCCTCTTCTATCTCTACAGGGCTTGTTAAGACTTTTAGGTAGTAACTGTTTAATTAGTCTTGGTTTGAGTTTCTAAGTCATGAACAGTGTAATTTAAGGTTACCATGTGAGGAACAAGAGAGGATGCATTTCACTTTTCTTTTTAGGAGACCTTGGAACATTTCTATGTTTTTTTGTGTGTTACATGAGCATAAACAAAAGTTTAACTATTCATATTTCTTTCCATTCGAGGATTTTTCCTGCAAGGAAGCTCACTCTGAGAGACAAAGTTTGGGATGTGCTATAGTCTCAAACAGAGTGAAGAGCTCTGGAAGGAGTGTTACAGAAAATTCTTTTTCAAAGTGATCTCACCTATGTGTCTCCCTGTGGGTTAGCATGACATCCCGTGTCCCCAGCACCTTGCTACCAGAGGAGGGCCAGAGCCTGCTAGCTCCTGACTACAGGCATGGAGGAGGAAGAGCTGACCCTCAGTGTGGCTCCAATCTACATGCTTTGACAGAAAGATGACAAAGAGATGGGCATGACTAAACTTAGCTCTTTGCAGACCATGTCTCGCATCCTGAGAGGAATAATCTGGAAGCATTCCTAGTTGGAAATCCTGCAAAGAGTCTGTATTAGTCAGGGCAGGCTACTGTGAAAACATTCACATGCAAGTTTTAGTGGCATACCACATGAAGTATTGTTCCTGCCATCCCTCACAAGTGAACGTGTGTTCTCAGGGGCGTGTGGGAAGGGAGGCGTGTTTTGCTGCATGCAGCCATTTCAGGACCTGGGCTCCTTCTATCAGTGGCCCCATCTTATCCTAGGGTTTCAAAACCTTTCTGTGGATCCTCTACATCTGGCTTGCAGGGGAGGGCTGAGGGAGTCATTAAGTACAGTGTGTGCCGTGGGCTAGACCCCATTCAGTGGTCCCAGTAAACTGCAAGGGAGGATGGGAAATGTAGTCCAGTGTGGTCCTAGGAAGACAAGGAAATAGGTTTGTTGATTATCTTGGCCAGTGTCACATGGACCTTGTTGGATTTATTACTGTTATTATTTATATTTTGTTTTTAAGCCTTGATTTCAGTCATTAAGTTAATTATAATTAGAAAGGTTCGTGAGGAGATAAAAAGATGAGCCATCCCTACAAATCCTTCAGTGATTCCTCCTCACTCTTGCCTTCTGGCTTGGGTATTCCCGACCTCGAGCATCAGGAAGCGTCTCCAGTGGTGGTTCTTAAGGTACCGCCTCTGTCCATTCTTACAATGTGTGACCCACAGACCCCCTCCTTCAGTGGGCTGCTTGCTCCTGTTTACAACTCACCATCCTGCCTCTTGCATACTGTGGACAATCATTAAAGATTTACAGAATTTATAAATGATTCAGCTCTCAGTTCCCTCATGCTTCTTCCAACACAACAAGACAGCAGCTCAGTTTTATATGCATTGGGAGTCTTAGACCCATAGCTCATGCACTCACACCAGTAACAGGCTGACCTCCAGGTCAGAGCTAAGGAATTAAATGACTATAAAGAACTGTAATAAATAACACCAAATTACATATACATATATATTATGATATGTATTCTTTAAAAAAGTTACTAATATTTTTCTCTTCTGAGTTGGAAAAAGCATGAAGAACATGGCCGGAAGTTTAATTCAGCTAATGATAAACTCATTGTATGTGTTTGGATTAGATGGATGGAACCAGCAGCTTTCTGGTGTTTGTTTGGGAGCCGGGGCACCAGCAGGATGTGGAGCACCTGGCCCACTGCACCCTCTGCCATGGTAAGTGAGCCTGGACAGCATTTCTGGTCAGACGGATGTGTTTAGAACAGGGTGTATCAACCCGTGGGCGCAGGGCAGATGTGCTCTGCATATGTGTACTTGCTTGGTTTGCGCTGAGTTTTGGAATTAGGGGATTTCCTACAAGTCTGGATTTCCAGTTTTTCTGGGGAAGTGAACAGTCCCGAGAACTGCAGACACTGCATTCCTTTGTGGCCACCGCCAGCCAGAGCTGAGCTGGACCTGCCCCTTTTGATGGGGCAAGTGTCTCCTAGGGCCCCACAGTCCCTTCCCCTCCCTCTCCTCTTACCTGAAGCCTACTCTGCATGTTCCCGTCCTTCCGGGCCCTGGAGTGCTTGACTTGTGTTCCTTATTTAGCAGCACCTTGGCGTTGATGGCAGACAGCTGAACTAATTGTCAAGATTCTTGGGGCCCAGGTGGGAACTACCACTGGCCAGCACCATCATTCAGTGTCTGTGTGTCTGCAGCTCCCATTGCCATAGCCCACACCCCACACCAGCCTGTGCCATGAAAACTCTGTGCTGAAACATGTCATCCACGCCCATGCCACCCAGGTCCAGAGTGCGTCCTGCAGGTGAAGTCAAATGGGGGCCCACTTGTTCCCTCCACTTGGTCCACAGAGACCCACCACTGCCACAGGTTTGGCCCTGAGAACTCTGAAGGCAAATGCAGCAGCTGCCACTTGTGGAGTTACCGTCGATGCGTGGTGTTCAGGGCCACCCTCTCACCCGACACATCCCCGCTCCAGGCCTCAATCTCACCTGTGGGGCCATAAGCCTAACTAGGATTGTGGAGCTTCAGCTCTTAAGATACACCAGGTGTCATTCTGAGCATGCCCACATATGAATAAATTTTTTATTTAAACCTCACAAACCACCTCATAAAGAAGTACTAGTATTATCATCACGTTCACCTGACAGATTTGGAAACCGAGGCACTACCAAGGCTGAGTGATTTGCCCAAGGTCACACTCCCAGAAAGAGTAAGAGCCGGGATGGAAGCAGGCAGGTGTCTGTGAACCTGGAGATTAGGAAACCATAGTCTAGGGATTAAAAACATTAAATGTGGAATCATCTTCTCAGTTCTTTCTTCTGAAACTGGGCACATTTACTTACAGTGCCGAGGGGCTCATCTTGTCCGCGGCGCAGCAGCGCCGTCCTTCCTGAGGGTCTGGAGGTGGGTCTGCAGGGGAAGGAGGTGAAGCGAGCTAACCGGCCCAGCCTCGTTTCCTCCCCAGACCCTTGCCGCCCGGGCCCCCGGCGGTGGACGCGGACGTGGCCTTCGTGGTGGACGGCTGCCTGGACGCCCTGAGGCTCGTGGACGTGGCGCTCGGCGACCTGGAGGGGGCGGCGCGGTCCCGCTCGTCCTCCCGCGGTGCGCACGGCCCTGGTGTCGCACACCACTCCAGGCTCCCGGCTGGGCGCAGGGTGCCCCCGGTGCTCGAGACCCCCGCCTGGCCTCGTTCGGCCTTAGCGCGCAGATGCAGAGGCGAGGCCGCGGGCCGCCCGCAGCAGGGAGCCCCCGCGCTGGGCACGCCCTGGAGCGGACGCTGGCCCGGGGGCTCTTGGCCGCTCCGCGGCCGGAGAGGGCGCTCTTCGCCATCGTGGCCGGCGAGACCAGCAGCTGGGACCGGGAGAAGCTACGGGCTGTGTCTCTGGAAGCCAAGTGCCAGGGTATCACGCTGTTCGTGCTGGCTCTGGGCCGGGCGTGGGGGCCCGCGAGCCCGCCGAGTTGGCCCACGGGGCCAGCACGCCCCCAGAGAAGCATCTGCTGCGCCTGGAAGGGGTCTCAGACGCCGACGTGGCCTACGCCCGGGCATTCCCGCGGCCTTCCTGAATCTCCTAAGAAGTGAGCAGTCCCCGGGCACTGGGCGACATGCCCAGGGTGGGCTGGGGAGAGGAACCCCAGAGCCTGGCATTTGGGAGAGTGGGTACCCACTGCACCGTCTCCGTACGGAGGTCTGCACAGCCCTGCAGCCTTTGGGGAGCCCCCAGAGAGCACACCCTCTCCTGAAAACCGTGCGCTCTCATTGCCCTGCCACTGCCAAGCCTACGGCTGATTTCCTGTCTGAAGCCTCTCATCTCAGGTTTTCACCCAACCTCCTAATTTTCTCATTTACCAAAATGACAATCTCTTCCTTATTTGTGAAATCTACATTCAAATATGTGCACGGAGGGGCTTTGAGAACACCAATGCTATATACAATGTAAGGCACAATTATGGAGTTATTGTTTTTAGTACACATAGTGATACAGACTCTGGAAGCCAGGGGTATATAACAATGCTTCTCAAACTTTAACATGCACGGATCTCCTGGGGCTCTTGTTAAAATGTGGATTCGGCTTAAACAGGTTTGAGTTGGGGCCTGAAGTACTGCATTTTCAAGGTACTGATGCTCCTGGTCCGTGGACCACACTTTGAGTAACAGTACCATATGATGTCTACTTTTAGAGATCTGCAGGGACTTGGACAGCAGTCCAGGGTCCCCACCTCATGTTGGGTGGCTAAGCCAACAGGGAACTATGACAGCATATCCAGGCTGGAGTTCTCCCCTGCCTCCTGTCCAAGTAGCTTCACCTCCCATCAGAACTAGCTGAACCAGATTCATGGACAGCCAGTACCATATCTGTATCCCTAGCAAGATAGTGGAGATTGTGGGGTGGGGGATGGGGAATCTCTTGGTCACATTTCCGGGAGTTTGCCTTGGGCTTTGTCCTCTAAGGCATAATCCCAAACAGCCCCTGTGCAGGGTGCCCTGTTGTGACACATGAGGTCTCCTTGCCATCCTTGCCACGAGACACTGATTTCTCAATTTATAGGTGGGAGTGACAGCCATTGGGATCCTTGCGGGACATCTGCCCATTCATCCCTGAAAGAATAAAGGGAGTGTGACAGACATTTTACAGGTGCTGACTTAGCACTGTGCTTCTGCAATTCAAGAGGCACAAAGTTCAATGAACTTGCTCTGGTCCTGGCTTTGCCACAAGTGAGTTGTGTGGTCCTAAAAAGGCTGGTGAATCACTCTGAACTTTAGATTCCTTATCTCTGCAGGAGGTGGAGGAGAGGCCTGCCACAGAGGGCTGACCGCTTAGAGATTCTCTAAGGGAGTAGCAGACTGAAGGAATCATTCTAATCTGTTTTAATTTCATTTTATTTTATGTTTTATTATGTTAGGTTTCATTTTAATTTTTTGTTTTTTTATGTTTTGATTTTATTTTACATTAATATAGGATACATTTTATGTTTTATATTTTATTTGCTTTTACTGTTGTGTTTATGCTTTATTTGAATTTATTTTATATCTTCCATCTTGTGTCAATAGATATTATTTGGTTTTTTATTTAATTTAATTTTTATTTTATACTTTTTGTTTTATTGCATATTTTACTTTATTTGGTTCTTTATGTCTTTTAAATATTGTCTTAATGGATAATACTTTGTTTTATACTTTATTTACATTTATTTTATTTTTAAGTTTTGTATTATTTTATGCTTGGTTTGGTTTGGTTTGATTTCATTTTTATATTACCTTTTGGTGGAACAAACCAGTACCCACCCCAAGAGCTCATTTTGGAGACCCAAAGCGAGGGGATACTCTGCTGTGATCAGCTGTGCCTGTCCAGAGGTAGGCCAAGGTTGTCTCACAGCCCTGCCCCTGCAGGACACTGTCTCCCTAAAGAAAGTTTACAGGCAATGCCAGTCTTTGACCTGACCCAAACCACTGGGGCTAGGATGCTCCTGTGTTTGGAAAACTGGTGTGGTTTCATATTTTTTTAATGATAAGAGTAATACAGGACTAATGGAAAGAATCAAAGAGCATGTAAGTATATAAAAGCAAGAAATGGAAACTTTCCATTTCATCCCCTAATCACATGTCCCAGATGGAAAATGGATAATGCTAAACACATTATTGTGATGTTTGTCCAAACGCTTCTGCACACCTAGGAAAAGCAGCAGGCTGTGCCCAAGCATCAAGCTTACAGAATTCAGCAGTGTCATTGGGGGTACAGCCTCTCCGTCCCTGTGGTTTGGTTATGCTGCTGACCTCATTGCTCCCATACAGGTTGCCCGAGGGCCAGTTTGGCATATCTGGCTTTGCTGATGATTTGGAAGCACTTGGAGTAGCGGATTCTTTCCTAGGGGAGAGTAGAAAAGCCACAATAACATATGTAACTCAGCAATGAACACTTGACCGCTATGAAAAGGATGCCTATGGTGCTGAAGGAGATGAACGAGAAACACCTGTGAGACCGAAGGAGGCCAGAGAAGGGCACCCAGGCACTGCCGATGGTGAATACCGGACTCCTCCTCCTTAGGTTGAATTCACTTTTTAAAATCTTTATCTTTTTAAACAAAAATTACTGTGCACTGTGTTAGCATGCAAGTTTTGGCTTTTTATACACTTTCCTTCCAAGTCCACAAATTTGTGTATGCAGTTAAAGAGATCAGTTTAAGAAGCATACAAAAGCTAACTTTGCTCTGACTATAAAAGTGGAGCTGCCAGAAGCTATTTCAGGGAGTATTATGGAGGTGTATTATGGAGTACTCCCAAGTGTTCACTTCATTGCAGAGAGGCAGCTGCCATCATGCCAAAGTGGAGACCTTCAGGGGAAATGCACTGGCTTGTAGAGGCTCCTTCATCTGTTAGTGGCCACATAGTTCCAATCATGTTTAGAGAACAGTTTGGATCCATCTAGAACAACTGTAGCATCGCATTTGGATTGCAGCATGTAATAATGGAAATGCCACGTTACCTCTTACATGGATCAACAAATTAAGCAAAACAGCAAACACATTTGAAAGAGTTATGGGGGACTAGACTGAACTTTTTAAAAGGCAGGGAAAAGATTGCTGAAAGAGCTTGTAGCCCGAGGTGCGGGCAGTCCTGCTCAAGGTCAATGAGGGATGACTGCTGGAGGTTTTGAAGGTGCCTCGATGGTTCTTCATCTGGGGCTGCAAGACAGAGTGCCGTGGGGAAGTTTTTAATCTCTGTGGTTCAGTTTTCTGATCTATGCAGTGGGGATTAGATGAATACCTACCTCATAGGGTTGTTTTGAAAATAAGACGTAATTCATAGTAGGCATGCAGGTTAGCTCCTGCTGGTGTGTCCTATCTCTTAGATTCCAAAGCAAACACAGGTGCAAAGGAAATAATGAAACCAAATAGACAGCAACAGGCGCTCCCAGCAAGGACACTAACATTTCACCTCCTTAGGCCAAACTTAAGCATAAGAACTTATCTTGCTGATGACTATATTTCCAGTATACAATACTCTCAGGTAATCTTATTAACACAGTGATTTTCACTTTTGGCTAGAATCAACTGGGAATCATTAAAAATTCTGAATGCCTACACCTCACCTCAGATTAATTCAGTCTGAATCTTTGGGTGTGGGACTTACCTGGTGACTTCACTGAGCACCCCGGAGTGAGGAGCCATGCTCTGAGCATCCTTTCCCCCGACTAAGAGTGAAGGAGGTGCGGAGAGCCTACTGGTCAGCTCATCGGTCCTAGTCAGGTCACCACTGAGGCCAGAAGTATCCCCACATTTCCATTTCCCCCATCCAGTCCCTGCCCCATGAAACCCCAAGGCCGTTCTACCTTCCCCACCTCTCAGGCTGCTTCTCCATGTCTCTTCCTCCAGCAGATCCCTTATCTTCTTGCTTTCAAAAGAAATAACGGTGGCCGGGGGCAGCCTGCAGCAGTGTCCGTCCAGCTGCACGCCCTCTCTTCCCGCCCCCCAGGCAGGAAGAGTGTCCGAACTGTCAGGAGAGACTGAAGGGCTCTTCCAGGCGCGCTGACCCGAGCTCCTTGCACCTGCTGACCCCCGCCTTCCTCAGAAAACCCTCGCCTCTCTCGGCTTCAGACACAGTGTCTTCATCTGGTTCTTCTGCTCATCAGCCAGCCATTTCCACGGGCTCCTCTTCCCAGGCCTCTCCTCACAGCAGGCTCCGGGTTTTACGGAATTTTAAGTGCTTCCAATTAGGGGGCCTTTTTAAAGAAAAAGAATATGAAATTATTAAAATTAAGTACAAAGTGAATACGCACTTCTGCCGTGAGGGGCCCTGAGGCTGGCCTTCGCTAACCTCATGGTAAACCTGTGGCGCCTTCCCTGGAGGCCTTTCCTGGGTCCTCTCAGCTCTGCACCCACCCGGCGAGCTTCCGCCCAGGATGCCAGCCTTCCCTTCTGCACCAAGGCCTCCAAATCCTCACTGCCACCCGACATCTCCTGAGCTGCTGATCGGTGGACTCCCCACCCTCCAGGCAGTGCCAGGCACATGCCTGCAGGCAGCCGAGCTGGGATGGGCGAACTGGACTCATCTTTCCATGCAACCTCCTCCTTTGTTCCATTACTGGGATGAGCCGCCACCGGCCCGGGGGTGGAAAACCAGAACCAAACACCCCTCTCACTGTTTCCTCCTCCCGCCACCCCCGAGTGGCTAGTCCCCAGTGTCTCTCAGACCCACGCCCTCGCCCACCTTCCTCTCTGATGCCTCAGCTTTCACCACAAGGGCTCTCTAACTGGTCTCACTCCTTCCAGTTGGTCTTCCAGCTCATTCTGACTGCCAAATTAACTTTTCAAAATACACATCTGTCAAGTCATTTCTCTTCCTTGATGGCTCCCCGTTGTTAATAAGGCAGTGTCCAAGTGCCCGGGCCAGGCACATGGCCAGAGTGATGAGCCCCCTGCAGTGGTCCACTGGGGTCTTGCTGGCCCCCACTTCCCCTCCGTGTACTGTTTGTGCCATATGTAGTTCTCCCTATGTGCCATGGTTTATTTCAAGTCTCCGTGCTGCTGCTTGCTCTCCTGTCTGTGGCCTCTCCATGGCACCCATGGGGGCTGTGCCTACTCATCTTCACTGTGCAGGTCAAGGTTTGCTTGGCCGAGCATCCTTTCTGTCAGGCCGTGTTCACAGCCTCCTCTGTCCTGTGTCTGAAGTCAAATTCTGCCAGTGCTCCTGCACCTCCTGTGACAACTGAAGTGAGTACCACCTCTCTTCACAGAATCCAGGCTGACCTTGGTCCATTTCCAGCCTCACTGCTTTCTCCAGAAAGCACACAGCTCTGTTTTGCTTTTCTCCTCCATGTCAGGCTACATTATGAGAGATCTGTACCGGAAGACAGGCCTGGCCTCGCAAAATGTGATTTCACAGCAGTTGTGCATACCTGTCCAGCTCTTGTCCTTCTTTCCCACCGCCTTTCCTTCATTCCTTGACTGCATGGACTTGTGCGAGTAAACCTGACTGCCGCTGCAGGATCTTCCCGTGAAAGCAAAAGTTAACACTCATAGCAAAAATAATGCAAATGTAAAATTGGGGGCTAGCAATAATTGATTGAGTGAAAACTTGTTGGCCCCCCAATGCCACATCATCCTAATTGGGGAAAATTCAGACTCTGAGGCTTCCTGAGTATTAGGTTACAAAGCATAACTTAGAGATGATAAGTTTAAAGCATTGAAGATTTACTTACCTATAGCTATGCTGACCAACTTTCTAGTCACATTGGCCTGTTTAAATTTAATAATTTAAATACTTTGATATTAAGCAAAACTAAAACTTCAGTTCTTTGGTTGCAGTAGCCACATTTCAAATGCCCAGTAGCTGGAAGTATAATCAAGAAGCAGAAGCCACTGTTTGATGATCTCCCAGACTAAAGGCAAAGGTGGGGCTTCTAAAGGCAAAAGCCACAGTGTCACTAGGAAAAGTGAGCGATCTGTTTACACCAACCCTTGGCTTCTCAGTTTGGAATTAGTTTGTAATGGTGGAGGTTGGGGCCCGCTAATTGCTGAGCCCCAGATCTATTTGTTGAACCTATGAGTACACTCAAAAGGTCACCTTTGACTCTGACATGTTTTTGGAGAAGAATTTGCTCTGGTTTCTTTTCCTGGACAATTTCCATAACCAGATCCTTACCAATGAGGAGTGTTTCTCATTCCCCTGGGTCCGGAACATCTGGCCACTCCTTCAAAAAAGTTAGTCTGTGCTGATTATACTAATGAGAGTTCTTTTCCCAGGAATAGACAATGATTTTTTTTTTTTTAGTTTTATTTTCTTATTAAAAAGACCTGTGCATATTGTTGAGCTGTTTAAGAAAAAAACAATCTAATGGTATTTAAAAATACCTTTATACCTGCCCATCAAAGTAAACAAATATTGATATTTTCCATACTTTTTTTTTTGAGAGGGCATCTCTCATATTTATTGATCAAATGGTTGTTAACAACAATAAAATTCTGTATAGGGGGGTCAATGCTCAATGCACAATCATTAATCCATCTCAAGCCTAATTCTCGTCAGTCTCCAATCTTCTGAAGCATAATGAACAAGTTCTTACATGGTGAACAAATTCT